ATCATCATCATCATCATCATCATCATCATCATCATCATCATCATCATCATCATCATCATCATCATCATCATCATCATCATCATCATCATCATCATCATCATCATCATCATCATCATCATCATCATCATCATCATCATCATCATCATCATCATCATCATCATCATCATCATCATCATCATCATCATCATCATCATCATCATCATCATCATCATCATCATCATCATCATCATCATCATCATCATCATCATCATCATCATCATCATCATCATCATCATCATCATCATCATCATCATCATCATCATCATCATCATCATCATCATCATCATCATCATCATCATCATCATCATCATCATCATCATCATCATCATCATCATCATCATCATCATCATCATCATCATCATCATCATCATCATCATCATCATCATCATCATCATCATCATCATCATCATCATCATCATCATCATCATCATCATCATCATCATCATCATCATCATCATCATCATCATCATCATCATCATCATCATCATCATCATCATCATCATCATCATCATCATCATCATCATCATCATCATCATCATCATCATCATCATCATCATCATCATCATCATCATCATCATCATCATCATCATCATCATCATCATCATCATCATCATCATCATCATCATCATCATCATCATCATCATCATCATCATCATCATCATCATCATCATCATCATCATCATCATCATCATCATCATCATCATCATCATCATCATCATCATCATCATCATCATCATCATCATCATCATCATCATCATCATCATCATCATCATCATCATCATCATCATCATCATCATCATCATCATCATCATCATCATCATCATCATCATCATCATCATCATCATCATCATCATCATCATCATCATCATCATCATCATCATCATCATCATCATCATCATCATCATCATCATCATCATCATCATCATCATCATCATCATCATCATCATCATCATCATCATCATCATCATCATCATCATCATCATCATCATCATCATCATCATCATCATCATCATCATCATCATCATCATCATCATCATCATCATCATCATCATCATCATCATCATCATCATCATCATCATCATCATCATCATCATCATCATCATCATCATCATATCAATCATTCAATATGACCCCCCCCCCCTTCCCTTGCTCGTTGTTGTCGTGTGTGTGTGTGTGGGGGGGGGGGGCTGACGAGACGGGGACTGAGGCCCTCTGTAGGGGGTCACTCCTGCCTTGGTCCTCAGCCCTCGCCTCAAACTAATTTTACATGGTCTTTTCTCCTCCTTTCCTTTTCCTTCTCTTCTTCATCCCTTTCCTCTGTCCATTTATTTACTCATTAACCCATCTCTACCCTTTTCACCACAATACCCTACCATAGTGCTATATGACCTTCGATGTCTAGAACATGTATTTGCTCTATCCATTAAACGTTAACCATTCTATATGAATTTCAACACTTGTATATAAATCAATCTATATAACAAGAAGCATAACAAGTGCAAAGATGAAATGGGGGAAATTCGGCCACAGTAAAACAAGATAAATAAATAAATGAAAGGAAATAAACGGAACACAAAGACGTGATGTTTCAAACGAGACTAGACTCCTGGTCGAATTCGAAACGTCACGTACGTAGCAAATAATACTTTTTCATAATCTACAACCTTCGTGGATAACTTTAAAAAAAGGGAGTCATTATTAGGGACGAAACAGCTTTGGTTATTTTGATAGTTTCCAAAACAGTGACAAACATAAACATATATTGCATTGATTTTATAGACATGTTTGTAACGCCAATGTATAAACTCCAAAACAAACGATGGTATTATGTTCAATGTGCGATGGATAAAGTGCTTCACTGGACCCTAATGTACGATTATCCTTTTATAGATATACACATTAGCTAGATAGATAAAAAGCCAGACAAAGAGATCGATAGATACAAGTGAAGAGATATGCACAGTAGGTAGAAAAAATAAATAGATATTGTAATGATAAGCACATTGTCTCCATGATTTTAATAAATATTTTATTTCATTATTCTTTATTTTAGTACTCTTTTGACCTACCTCCTTTATTATGATATTGATATTTGAATTATATATCGTCTTTGGAAATTAGTCACTTTAATTCCACAGTGAAAGAAAGTGGAAACAAAATGGAAAGACAGTGTTACACAAAGTAAACAAAGCTGTGGAAAGTGTTAAGATAATGCAAGGGGAATCAATAACTCAAGTGCTAAGAAATAGAGTGCAAAGAGAGAGAGAGAGTGAGAGAGAGAAAGAGAGAGAGAGAGAAAGTGAGAGCGAGAACAAGAGCGAGGGAGAGAGAGAGAGAGAGAGAGAGAGAGAGAGAGAGAGAGAGAGAGAGAGAGAGAGAGAGAGAGAGCGAGAGCGAGAGCGAAAGAGAGAGAGAGAAGGGGGGGAGAGAAAAATGATTCAAGAGTTAAGAAAGGGCAAATAGATTATAAAGCGAGTGTCTCTTTGGACAAAAAGAAACATACACACACAGAAAGAGAGAGATATTGAGAGGCTGAGAGAGATAGTGAGAGAGAGAGATACATACATACATATATGCACATATATATATATATACATATATATATATATATATATATATATATATATATATATATATATATATATATATATATATATATATAATATATATATATATATATATCTGTGTGTGTGTGTGTATTGTGTGGAGAGAGAGAGAGAGAGAGAGAGAGAGAGAGAGAGAGAGAGAGAGAGAGAGAGAGAGAGAGAGAGAGAGAGAGAGAGAGAGAGACGAAGAAGTGTTCCCAAACCCGAGGAGTTTCTCTCAAAACCAACCCACCTAAATTGACTTCACGACTCCAGGCTGGTTGCACTGAATAGGACTGGTGAACGAGAGCTGGTTTACATGTATTTCGACTTCTCTCTCACTTTCACTTTCGCCTCTTGCCTTTTCAAATTCTGGCTCTCTCCAGCCCGTCCCCGCCTTCTCTCTCTCTCTCTCTCTCTCTCTCTCTCTCTCTCTCTCTCTCTCTCTCTCTCTCTATTTCTTTCTTTCTCGCTCTCTCTCCTTTTCTCTCTCCCTCACTCTTTCTCTCTGTCTGTCTATCTGTCTTTCTCTGACTATCTATCTATATGTCTGTCTGTCTCTTTGTCTTCCTCTGTCTGTTTATCTGTTTACCTACCTATCTGTCTGCCTGTCCTCTCGCTCTATGTACATGTGTATCAATACACAGAGAAGCAAACAAACCCACACAGAAACACAC